ACCGTAAGGGCCAGGACTAAGTTTACGGACAGGACTAGGGCTACTAGTCGGATTACAGTTCAATTCTACATTAAGGTTAATGTTCGGAAAAGAATACGGGTATATTGCGTTCTCTTCCAAAAATAAATAATTGAAGTTCTATTTCCGAAACGATTAGTACTCTGAATGGCAACCGATAGAAAAATAAGCCCGTGGTTTGACGCTAAGTTGTTTTATTCTAATGTTATAGGGCCAAAATCTTGGAGCTAAAACCTCTGGTAGGCCCAATTTGAGGTTGTGGTATGACCAGCTTACAGGGACAAATAAACGGAAAATATTCTTTCTGATGTCTCTTCTTTTCTACGTGTTTTTGTCTTAATATTAATAACCAATTAATGTGTGATGTAGGTGAGCTTTCAAGATTCTCAGTACTGCCTGTTGTACTCACTGCAGATTACGTACCGGGAAAGTACGTCAGGCTCTTATTACCAATCAGAGACTGATCTGCAACCTGTAGTTGTTTTGGTTCTCGTGTATGCCTCGTCAGACGGTAATGTATCGGACAAGCACATACACATTAACACAACACATAAATTATAAAACCTATTCGAAGTAAGATTACTGGGAAAAGCCCACCGCATCTTTGTCCACATAATGTTTGTAAGGTAGCTGAATCTCTTAGCCGAACTAACTTTCCTTCTGGCACTGGAAAATGAACAGAATGCCAGCGACCACAGCACATGCCATACAAATCTTTTTCACTGGCACAAGCACCGACTGTCCAGGGTAGCTAGATGGCATCCGCGTTTTTGGGACTGCTTACGGTAATCAGGAAGTTTTTGTGATTGAGCCACAGGACGCACTGTCTCATTTTGTTCACCCGGTTGCCTGGATTGCATCACACGGCAAGTGAGTCAGCTAGGATACAGCTGCAGCCTTAGGTGCATGTTTGGGGGGATTAGGAGGTAGTATGAATATGATAGGTGATATTTTAATAAAAGGACCGAACAAGGTCCAACCGAACGTAAGAAATCCAAGTGACGAGGACCCCACGACCAACGTGCCGGAAGAAGAGGCAAGATTACCAGAACCCTCTACCATGGGGACAAGAAGCTACACTAATTGTTGTTTATGACCCCGAACGACCCCAACTGCACTGACAGTTAATTAGTATATACCACTATAATTATCCCCCTCCCGTCCTTTAAGTTGCTGTTTCCTACTCCTTGACGACCTGATGACCTCTGACAGTTGATTGGCCCATGTTCACTCTCCCTCCCCTTCTCTTGGTTGTTGCTTTTTATCTCTGAAGACGGATTTTTGTGGGAGTTCGGAAGTTCATCACAATGAGCAAATTGACAGGTTTTCGTCTTTATCCATGCAAATACCTAGAACGCGAACGTTTTCATTCATTGGTGATAGGTGATATGCACAAAAGTACAGTATGGCGAGTGCGGCATGAAACATTGCGCAGTTCGAAAAAGACCGGAAAGACAGGAAAACAGGAAGGGTTTCCTTCGGTTTTAA